TAATATGTACATATACATATATATATATGCATTATTAATATACATTATCTTAATATATACGTTTATATTGTTGTCATATACGTAGAATATGAATATATAAAATTTCTAACGTCAATAGTTAATAACGACCTATATTTGCTGAGTTTTTCAATCGTTCATTTATCGGATATATTTTCAGTAATTGGAAATTCAAGAAAAGGAGTTTGGAATGTTTACAATCAATAAATTATCTGAAAAATATTAAGGGTCTATTCACGAATATGTAAACGCCTCGTCTTGTAGACAAACTGTACCGACGTGATCTCTCAAATGTTCTTAACTGGTGGAAACCTAACAGGGCAGCCCACCCTTACACGAACTCGTCGCTGACTCTTAGCTAAAAGAGTGCCGGAAGCCATGCTATTCTAAACAGGACGCCAAGAGGACAATGAGCAACTCAGGATGGAAGTGGAAAAACGAACAAAACATAGCGCGACAAGAGCGATAATAAATGCGTGTACATGTATTTATGCTCGCGTAACTTATCTTTCATTTCTCACGAAGTTGAAGTTAAACAAAGGTTACATACATATAAATAAATGTAATTGGTATACTAAACAGATCAGCGTATCGAAAATAATTTATTTAAAAACCACTCAATAGTTTTAAAGAAATTAATATTTTTCAAATATTTTTTTATTTCAATCAAAACATTCGAAATGTTTCATCTGGAAAATACACCGTGTAAAATTTGATTTAAATTTCATATTGTTATTTTTATTATTTAATTTAAAACCTTAAATTTCCTAAAAAAAAATCATAATAAAAAAGTGTATTTAACTGTTTTCACAATTTTATAGCAATTTAAATAAGTCTCGTAGATAATTTTAGATCTATTAAAGGCAAAAAATATTTTTAAATATAAATTTTTATTAATATAACATATGTAATTAAAATAAAATTCCACAAAACCTGAAATTGGACAATTGTATTTCACATAAGAAGCGAGAAATAAAAGAAACAATCACGCGAGAACTAAATTGGAATTTTAAATACGTTTTTTTCGTACGTCCTCAATTGAATCTTAAAGGAAGTCAATTTTAAAAAGGTTATGACCGGATAAGGGAAGTCAATTTTAAAAAGGAGAGCAGGAAACGATTTCTTATGTGAGACCGTGTAGAGATAAACAGAAATAAAAACACAAAATCAGAGACAGTGTATCAGGAGAAGAAGCGAAGTAGTAACCGTGTACTGTAAGCCGTAAGAGTTCATCAAGCAGACTGAGAAACTGAGAAAGTATTAAAGATGGGATCGTGAAAGTAGATATAAAGCGCAATAGTAATAATATATCTAGGTAATCTACCTCTTTTCGTGCCACGCATGCATGTCCTTGTTCGTTTGTGATTTTGTCATAATTTATCATTTATTTATCGCTTCTACAAATTAACCCCACCCTTTCAGCCACGTCTCTCGAAGTTAACGTACAATAATCGAACTGGAAGAAAGGAAAATAAAAAACATAAAATAAAAGAGAATAAAAAAATTGGCCAAGCCGTAATATATATCTATGGATAATGGGATGTATTATGGTATAGACACGTTTCTTTTTTATTGCGCATTTCGTTTGTTTCGTTTCCGGGTAGCAAATCGGACTCGAGGAAGTCGGGCTCCGTGTCGGACGTCGGTCGTTGAAGAGCGCACAGAAAGAGAAGATAGGACAGAAGGTGAGACACGACGACACGTCATCCTGATAATGCTTCATGAAAATATTTACATGATTGACTTCAAAAGTTTCGCCATAGGAAACTCGATAAAAAAAAGATAACGATCTTCTGTTTATAAAAACTTTAAAAAAAATTAACGTATTTTGATACGAATCAACAATTTGAAAGAAGTAGGCCATTAATTTTTATATGCAAAATTTAACTCATATTTCGTTTTCAAAGCGAATGATAAAATTTACCAGAATTACATAATCATTATTAAAAGATAAAAGGTTGAAACATTTGATCTGGTGCTCCGTACTCTCATATTCTGATACTGATATCCGAATGTGAAAACACAAAAAGCAACCTTTTTACTAAATTAAAATATCAACCAAGTTATATAAATATATCAAAAAACATAACAAACTGTCGTAATTAAAATATTGAAACAGCATATTCGACTGATAAAATTTCCCATCGTGTCTCGAGAACAATTCAATTGATCATACAGGCATTTATCAGAGTGACGTTTCATGGCATCTGCCGATCGATCGGCCGGATGAATGGATTTTTAAAGCACTACCATAGTAACCCGGAATTAGAGCGTCGGCTATTTGGTGATTTGGCCTCCTCATTGATCGCAAGCCGTTCGTTGAGACTTGTAGCAGTAACATCTGGGACCTTCTATACGTCTCTCTCTCACTCTCTCCCTGACCGAATCCAACGACAAGCCATGACAAATCCATTGTGCGACCCGTGAGCAAGCATTCATGCTAAGCAGGCCCGATCGTTTGGCGCGAGGCTCGGAACAAATCCCCATTTTGCCTCCAAGTTCCTTCCGAGAGAGAAGCACAAATTGCTGCTCTCGGACGATGATCGTATCGAGAAAACTCTGGGCTATTTATCTGCTTGATGCAGTACGTCTGTGCCGAATACATATTACAGAGACCGATCAATTCTAATGTGCACATCCTGTATTTTTCTCATCTAAAAATAGATGTGAACGATAGGAGATAAAGATAGATTATACATAAAAGAATAGAACAACTAATTGGTAGTTCAATACGATCATCAACGGAACGATATAAATGCAGTGCACGACCAAAATTTTCAGATACCAAGTTTCAGATAAAAATTTCAAATTTCACTTGAATTTGCAATATTTGTATCGCCATTAAAAAAGACGCAAATCGATTAACATTGAATAAGAATAATCAGTACCATTTTATTAAATTTTGTCAATCCAAGCTCTCTTAGAACTGAATTGACAAGAATCAAACTCAATCGCGTAAATATAATTATTCATTAAAATCAAACGTACTAACGCGAACTTCATTACTTCAACCTGATATCACAGCTCATATTACGTCGTACAATTGCACTCTTTGTACATAACATGCATCTTAAAATCTTCTCTATGCACTGTAAAGGACGGCAAGCAATATTTAAGGTGACCAACTCACTACCAAATGCAAGCACAAAGGAGACACGAGTACATACAGATTTAGGTTGAGCATGTTAGAAGCGTCGGTGAACGTCTATAAAATTTAGAAAAAAAATAAAAAATCCAAAGAGGAAGGCATGCACGTAACAGCTCATACGGATGTAAAGCAAAGCTGGAAGATTTCGCGTGACTTCGCTGATATCATAAAATTATGAAGAGATATTTATCTATTCTAAAAATATGAGAAGAACAAGCTTTCTCATCTCACTATTATTAAAATATAATTTATAAAAATTTCAACTAACAAAATATATTGTTAACATTTCGTATTTCTGATGTGAGAAACCTTCCAACATCGAGTGGCAAAGTAATCTCTGATGTAATCATGTTGGAAGTTGTTATTAAATATAATTACAGCATGCTTTATTTCGTTCCATGTTATGTTTAATCAGATGTTTCTGCAGTCGAAGTCACGCGACTAGATAGAAAATGTTTGAAGGTATGTACGGTCGGAGCCTAATCGTGCGACAGGATCCTTTCGATCGCATCTTCAAGCAATCGAAGATAAGAATATTGTGACATGAATATTCCTGAATAGAAAGCTCAAGACCGTACAGGGATATCGAGCAGAAAAGCCAAGGTACGATGCATATATGCGGAGGGAGACAGAGGACAGCAAAGAGTTTCAAGAGGGAAAGGACCAAGTGACCTAGATAATAATGAAATATATTGATAAATTGTGAGCTGCCACGACATTTGGTGAAAATTGGAATAATCTCGAATCCAGAATTGCATTAAAGTCAGTGTAAATTCTTATCAATACAGTGTTTACAAAATAATTATAAATGAGATACGCAAACATTTCAATATGCCTAAACATTGTTTTTTTTATTAATGAAAAAAAAAAATGATTTTTAAAACATGATATAAGATATATGTAAGCATTATGTAAACTGTTATTTCAGCTTCGAACGTAATATAAATATTTAATATATTTCGAAATAATTTCTAAAATGTTTCATCTGTATTTTAAATATGAAACTTATCATAATAACTACTTTTCACTACAGCCAAGATTCGATATAGTAAACAAATTTTAATAAAACAAAATTTAATAAAACTAAACCACGAAAAAGATCAAGGATCACGATTAAATAGAAGCATCACATTAATCTATTTCTCACAACCACGCTCTTTTACCTTTAACGAAAACTACTGTTCAGTCGCTGTTGCAACAAACAAGTAACTACACGCTTGACCATTCGTTTATCTATAAAACTTTCTACCCTCCGATTGCGCATTAACTTAACCGCAAATTAATCCCACTAATACCATGAACAAGTGTAGATTCATTGCGCAAGTGATTTCTCTTTCTCAACTACTATACAAAAAAAAAACATAATAATATATAGATATGAAAACTACAAATAAGAAATTTTTAACTACGTTAATATTAGCCTTTCAACATATATTCAGACGTTTCTATTCAGATTTTCAGTTAAATCTATCCAGTTTTTTTTAAAGAAACAGCTTCGAACGTACTCGAGAACCATCTGACTCTCTTTCTTCGTAATCATTCCAACGTGAAACCATCTGCCGAGGTTGCCAGTTTGAAGTTTTGCCGGATATATTAAGGATCAATGTGTACAATAAGGAGACACTGAATCGGGAGGGTGTATTGATTTTTCGGACAAGTAGAACGGAAATCCATCGTATATATATATATTGTTACCCGGGAGATATGTGGTAGCCAGGTTGGTGATCAAGAAGGGGTACGGGAGAGGGTGGAGCACGAAAAACAAAAGACTTACGGCATCTGCCACGAGGTGTGCGGGCGGGAGGGCTGCCTGCAAGTGTCCACTCTTCAGCAGGGGGTCGGCGAGGCCTGCCACGCTGGCGTGTAAGGGGCTTGGGTGGAGAGGATGATGTGGGGTTGTAAGATGGGCCGTGGATAGGAGCGGGTGCCCGTGAGAAGCGGCGAAGGCCGAGGATGAGGGGTGGGCCGCGAAGGGCGAGGTCGTCAAAGTTTGGGTGTTCAGCGAGGGCGGGGTGGGCCCGGCAGCGGGCGCGGGCAATGGTAATACTGTACTTACGTCCGAGTGGGCGGGCACCGCGTAATTACCCTGGATGGTGTAGGCTTGCCCACCAGCCAGGATCACTGGCCCACCGACTTGGGGTTTGGGGCGATAAGGGATCGTGGCACCTTTGGGAGGGGACTGAAACAGAAAGAAACATACGCACGAGTGCGAATACACCGATCGAGCGAGAATTATATTTGGTACAGCATTCGCGTTATCGCATCGAAAGATGGCTCTTTTATCCTATTAAAGTCCAAAAATGACACGATGTGAATAAAAAAAAAGAATTACTTCAGCGTCGGAAACGACTTTGTTTACAGCTGCAGTTACATATATTGCGTTTCTCTGAAGAAACTTACGAATAATAAAAAAAATTCAAATATAATTTAATTGTTATGAATACTAATTTAGTCTTAAAACTTTAGCAGGTTAATCTAACTCGTCATAATACAATGAAATTATTTAAATACGTGCAATCTTTTCTTGTCAAGATTAAATCGATATAATAAGTATTGCTTTTAAGTCTCGATCGTTAAGGCTTACTATTTGTTAACAGATTAATAACTGTAAACTGTACTTGTACATGTTCAACAAAATTAATAGCACGTATACCTATATGTTCAACAAAATTAATAGCACGTTT